AAATACTAAAATAATTTTACTGTTCCAACTAATGACGGAAGCTTGTGTTGCCTCCGAAACGTCGTGATTTCATTTAGTTATTGTCATTTCATTATTTGTATTTTTCATCTACGTGACTTTACCGAATGATGATTATCTTTGCACACTAGTTTGTCTTTTTTATTTGGAAACTGGCAATCCACCAAAGACGTCACGTTTGTTTTAATTCTATTTTATCTCGTGATTAAAGCATTGAAACTGGGTACACAATTAGCGTTGCAGTCAACTCCCGATTACCCGGGTTAATCGCGGATGTTGGCTGGGGAGGCCCGGATAATTCAAAATCGACGTGAATTATTGGGATATAAAACGCTATTTGTTGTGTTCCTGTGTGTATGCCGGGTGTGGAATTGAAAACAAGTAAACCCGTAAAAACAAAGTTTTTCACTCTAAATCCTTTATATGCGTGGCGGCTAGAGTTCTCTCGTCCTCTGGCTTGAGATGGCTGCAATCTATGGGTCAGATGATTGTCTGCCAGTATTAAGCAATTGGTAATTAAATATTTAATTTGTTTTCCCTAAACAGTGTAAAATTTTGGAAAAAAAATTTCACGAAAATTAATTGTCACACACAACGAGTCTGTGTGGAAAATGTCAGCTCGATTGGATCACGGGAAGTGGGTTAAAAAACGAGCGAAAGATTTACACGGTCCTAAGCAAGCAAGAGAACTTAATATAAAGTATTTAAAAATATATTCGCCTGTGGAGGACGCGGGGATCGAACCCGCGACCTTTGGCATGGGAAGCGAGGGCGCTACCAACTGCGCTACTCCACCACGGCCTGTGGAGGGGTTACGCTGTGGGCTCTTACACTCTGACGTTCAGCCAAAGCCATGAATGCGTTCTATTTGAATATATGTAAAATACATTTTTTTTGCCTAAAAAAATTAAAATTTTGGGGATTTTTTTTCACGAACAATAATTGTCTGGCACAACGAGTCTGTGTGGGAAATGTCAGCTCGATTGGATCACGGGAAGTGGGTTAAAAAACGACCGAAAGATTTGCACGGTCCTAAGCAAGCAAGCACGCAAGCACGTGAACTTAATATAAAGGATTTAAAAAATTAACCCGTAAAAACAAAGTTTTTCACTATAAATCCTTTATATGCGTGGCGGCTAGAGTCCACTCGTCCTCTGGCTTGAGATGGCTGCCACCTATGGGTCAGATGATTGTCTGCCAGCATTAAGCAATTGGTAATTAAATATTTTTAAAAAATTCCTTAAACAATGTAAAATTTTGGGAATTTTTTTTTCACGAACATTAATTGTCTCGCACAACGAGTCTGTGTGGAAAATGTCAGCTTGATTGGATCACGGGAAGTGGATTAAAAAGCGACCGAAAGATTTGCACGGTCGTAAGCAAGCCAGCAAGCACGCAAGCACGCAAGCAAGCAAGCGAACTTAATATAAAGGATTTAAAAATAATCAATTTTGAGTGTGTTTTTTTAGTCCAGTAACTGGTTTGCTGACCGACTGAAGCCACGTGGTACGGCCGCAGACACCGCGATGAGCGAGGAGCGACCGTCGGCAATTCAAACCCGGAGCGCACGTGGCGAGCGGCGAGCGTTGACGTCTTACTCGCACGGTTAATCTCAAACGCGGATTATCCGCCCACGCGAAATCGAGCCTTAGCCGCAAACACATCGAATATATCGGAACAAAAAAAAAACATCTTGCACGTGGTCTTCGAATTTATATGACAAGCAGCAGTTTTGTCTCGCCTATGAACTGGACGTGTAACCACCAGTGGCCGCATTATCCCAGTAGCAACAGCAGCTGCACGTGCTACGGGGCCCGCACTTTCAAGGGCCCCGCGCTTAATGCTCTCAATCTATCAATTCCGGTTCAGTGATTCTACACTTGCTCTACTACTATAGTACTATACCGTCTTCTTGGTTCTTCCGGTAAAGTCACGTAGAAGGGAAATAATAAAACAATAAAAATAAAACATAATAAAATAATTCTCACGACGTTTCGGCCACAACGCAAGCAGCCGTCCTCAGGTGAAGACCAGGTCTGTCGGGGAGACAGCGTCGGATGGCTTTGTGTACAAACCTTTGATGGTAGCCAGAGGGTTTGCAGAGCACCTTGGTCTCGGAAAAAACAATATCATGAGAGCCCACAGCGTTGTAGCAATGATCGGCAACGGCGGAAGACTCAATTTTGCCGTGTTTCTGACTTGTGCTCGCGGACACGATCAGAGACATGACGTTTCGTTTCCCCAGTGCAGTTGTGGTGATTGTGGTGATTGTTACAGATACACAAACACAGACATAATTCCAACCGTGATGATGGGTACAAACTGAGTAATCATTGGAAAGTTGTTATTAACCATGCAAAAAAGATTTAACTACACATTTTTGGACCATCTTATTTGACAGGTACTATTATACTTTACCGAGTGTTAGCATCCCCAGCGTTAAACAGCACTCTCCTTTTTGTATTTGGATGGCCACCAACACTGGGAAAAACAACATGTCGTTCTCTTCTAGCACCATGTGCACCTTTAGCATGTGACCTGTTGTTCTCTTTTAGCCCCGCCCCCCCTCATACGTTCCATTCATTGGCTACCACACTCAGATAAGCTCCTCCCCCCTCCTCCCCCCCTTAACTTGTGTTTATGAACTTGTATCTTGAAATCTTTTGCCTCACTTGATACAGTAAATCTAGCTGTGACGGTCCCACCTGATGACGGAGACTTGGGTTGTCTCCGAAACGTCGTGATTTATTATTTTATTTCTATTATTACTTTCATAAAACATTTTTACTTACGTGACTTTACCCAAAAAACCTAAGAGTATGACCAGCCCCTCCCCACCCAGCCCCACCCTCCTCACCCAGCCCCTCCCCACCCAGCCCAGCCCCACGCTCTCCTCTCCACCCAGCCCCACCCCTCCAATTTTTGGATTCACGATGGACGGACGGACACAATAATCCCCTGTGGGCTGGTGTAACCAGCAGGTTCCTACCAGTAATATGGGTCTCTCTGTGAACTCTACACCACCAATGGATCTGTGTTTGCCCCCCCCCTCCCCCCGGTTAATCCAGCACCATCACACAGGTCATGCTGCGCTTGACCTTTCGTAGCCTTGTCGGCTATACATCATCGAGATGACATCCCCAACAAGCCCGCTCTTGAAAAGCTCGCACACTTTACACAGCGTTTGTTAATTTTCCACATTTTATAAAATAGCTCCATCACGGCTCAAATGACAGGCTGCCAAAGAGCGAGAGAGCGAGAAAGAGCGCGGGCCATAAATGGCTTCGTGATTTCTTATCATCAGGCAAAGTGATGGATACGCCAGTCGGTGAAACGAATGCTTCCATATCTGTGATTGATCAATTAGGGTACTCGTGCTGATTAATTCGCTATCTCTGTTCCAGCGGCGCTAGTTAAAGGTTGGTTTTAGTTCCTATTGATCGGCGTCAGTAGGAGCGTCCAAAAAGTGCAATTGAAATAAATGGCAAATTGTTTTTGCGTATTGTTTTTAAAAACTAAAAATCACGCGTCAACATGCGCGTGAAAAGCTCCGAACATGATTTTGGCTTAACAATTTTTACACGGGCGATCACGTGGCCTCAAAATAAAAAAAATAAATACCAGCCGGGCGTCGATAGAAACATTCGCACAGCAGAAGCCAAATTAATTTTAATTAGCCACTCGCATTCTCCTTGGCTCTTAATTGCGCCATGGTTGGCAAAATAAAAAAAGAGAAAAACGTTGCAAAGACAATTTGCTACATTGCGAAAATAATTAACAGTTCTGGACCAAAATGCCATTATGACACATCAGAAGATTTGAAAATCAATTTCATAGAATGTAACGATGGGTTTGGCAAACAACAGAAAAAAACCCTGGGACCGTGAGCCAAATGTGGGTAGAATAAAAAAAAAGTCGATAGCATAGGACCCATCGGGAATGTAAACTATAATTTTCTTCTGCTGCGCCTTTGTGAATGTGTGCCAGCGAGGGAAGTCGTTTAGTGATTGAAATGCGGAGCGCCGAGTTTAACTTATTGGGTCCCGTGAGGAGCCAGTGATCAACCCCGTGGCATTTTGTCGCTATATACTCTTAGTTCTTTCGGTAAAGTCACGTAGGTAAAAAATGAAATTGAAATTAATCAATAAATAAAATTAAAAAAAACAATAAAATCACGTTTCGGAGGCAACACAAGCTTCCGTCTTTAGGTGAAACTTGTGTTGCCTCCGAAACGTCGTGATTTTTTTTTACTAATTTTAATTTCATTTTTTACCTACGTGACTTTACCGATAGAACTAAGAGTATGAATCCTTGCAGTCACGAAAGCTTCAAATCTAGAATTTTGTCGCTACATTTAACATTTCTCCTTTGCGAGGCCAGCACAGGTAGATTTCGTGCATCAAGGCTCCTGATTCCACGGGGGCAAGAGGCAGTGACGACACATACATGCGCCACGCAGTGTCGTGATGTTAACTACCTCGCCTGGTACACAGGAGGTCATGGATAAACGTTGAACTTCTTTCGCACCGTACGTAACCAACCGTGCTAAGCATGGGTTCAACCCCGACCCTGATGCCTGTTTATTTGGAATTTGCGTGTCTCTCCCTCTCCCCATGGTCGCGTGGATTTTTCTCCGAGCCCTTAGTGGTTTTTTCCCCCTCCACAATTAGAATCAACATCACGCGTTTAGAGTATTCGGCTGCTCTTAATGTCTACGTAATAAGCCACGTCGTAAAGCTATCATTTTATAATAACCAGGTCGCTTCTGAAATAGAGCTACATATCTCAATAGGCCTTCCTTGGTCACATTACAATTGTTTCGAATAAACAATTCGTTTTAAAGTAAAACCCCAACCGATTCTCAACACACTCTCGCCCCTTTCAGCAACCTCACACTGACCAATGCGGTGAAGTATGGTCAAACAACCTCTGGGGGCGAGCTTCCTTAAACAATGTGATTGACAAAGGGTGGTAAACAGCGTTTTATTTTATTGTTACCCAAGTGTGATGAGACAATGGTTTTGCATAAAAACACAAGTGGAGGAAGCTGAAATTAAATGTGGATCGTAGAGTAAAAGTCACAATTGTACAAAACAAAATATCAGACGTGAGATTTCATGCTTTTGAGACCAAATGAGTAATGCTAATGGGGTTGGAAGGACATTATACCGAACACCTGTTTCATCTGACAGCTGGAAATCACTTTTCTCAACAGAAAAAAATTATCAAAGGATAATAACAACGAATATAGGGCAGGGATTCATTTTCTCTGGGTCGGCGTCCCGGAAATATCCCTGCACCCGGCGCAACCACATCCAGTATATCCACCTCGCTATGGCTGTGGGTCCAAATCACGTGGGTGGAGGTTTGCATTGCACTCAAGTTTCATAGAAGAGCGTAAACAAATAACAATAACAACAACAAAGACCCAAACGCGTTTCCTTCCCGTCTCTCTCGGTCTCTGGTTCGCGCGGCGTGCCAAGCTGTGCCTGGACACGAGCACGGAGGGCATCATCGGCCGCCGCCGCCGCCGTTCCAGTTTCCCACGAACAACGATCACGTGGCCACGCACGCACGTGGCCACCGCGACAACTCCACGCTGTCACGGAGACGGGAAGGCATCGTCCACAATGTCGCACCGCCGTGGTGTTTCTCTCTCTTTCTCTCTCTTGATATACCCGTGTCAAAAAAGCGCGCATACCCCCAGCTCTATTCTTTTGAGGCGCATTCTCTACCTTGTGAACAAAGTGTGGGGCCCACTCCCATCTCCCAGCCACGCGCTCCGCACTTGCACCCCGATTTGATAGTTTCCACCCCTCCCCCCATCCACTCACCGCCCTCCCGTTTTACTCCTATTTCTTAGCAAGCAAAGTTGTAAAAAACAAACAAACATGAATTGTGGAAGCTGGATATATAGTGCACACCTTGGGAGCAAGGCCAGCAGTGTGCTTATATCCGAAGTAGCGTGCTTGTGTCAGAAGTTGCCCTTCACCATCACCAGTATAATGTTAAACACGTGTTGCCCTTATCGATTTATTTGGCGATACTACATTGGCAGTGGTGCGTTAGCACAAACAACAGCAAATAGTTATCTCTTAAAAAAGAACATAACAGGCGACGTTTAAGGTAATGACCCTTCTTCACGGTGCATAGAGAGACCAATTAGGCCAATTAGACCTCTCTACCTTTGGGCCTCTGTGTGCCGTGAAGATGGGCCCTTTCCCGAAACGTCGCCTATTATAAAACCTTTCTTTTCAAGGTCATTAATTGTGTCATTCACGAACGTGTTCAGTATTTTTGTTTGTTGCTTACATCAGACATGTGCTTAGACACGGTGTGCTTATATGCGGATTCTTATGTATTCGTCCACTTCGACACTATCGCCAAATTACATCAGGATTACAGTTCGTAATACAGTGTTGCAGTTAAAAAAGAAAAGAACGTGGCAACGAAAGGGCTGGAGCTGTAAACAAGACGAGGTTGTGATGGGTGGGACACGTGTACAGGGTGGTGGAGGGGGGTGTGATGGGTAGGACACGTGTACAGGGTGGTGGAGGGGGGTGTGATGGGTAGGACACGTGTACAGGACATAGAGGGGGTTGTGATGGATGGAACACGTGTACAGGGTGGTGCAGGGGGTTGTGATGGGTGGAACACGTGTGCAGGGTGGTGGAGGAAGTTGTGATGGGTGGAACACGTGTACAGGACATAGAGGGGGTTGTCATGGGTGGAACACGTGTACAGGGTGGTGCAGGGGGTTGTGATGGGTGGAACACGTGTACAGGGTGGTGGAGGGCAGGCAACCCAGACCGGACATTGGAGTGGCACGCAGAGGGAACACCGAACGTCAGATGCTGGTGATGGTGAGACCGTTAGAGTTAGGGCAAGGTGGAAGGTCAGTAGGTCATTGCGGCCAATGACGCTGCCGTCACAACACCTCGCCATCGCATCATTGCTTTGATGTCTGCCGGCCGAGTCGCCCTCGAAACAAAACCTCTGATTCTCATTTATACTCGTAGAAGCCACGGAGTGGAAATGTCACCACCCGCCTTCCAAGAGGTACCATCTCAGTCACAACACCGTGGCTCGGTTTCAGATCGTTTCCCCCTTTGTCAGTGAGGTTGACAACCAGGCTGGTGGCGGCGGTGGTATTGAGACTGCATGAGGGGCCCTTGAAGGCCGTGCTGGCCACGTGACACAGCCAGATGTCGAGGCCTCAAATGTCGGGTGTCCACTCTGAGACAACGAAGTGACGTGGGAGCTGTTGTGCCATCAATGGCAACGGTGACCTCTTGATCTGGACTTAGTTTTTTTGTACGCGCACATTATAATGTGTTAATAATGATTAGCGCCGTGTGTCCGAGTAACAATTGGGGATGAAATAGTGAAGCGCTATTCGCGTTCCGAATGGCTGGCAGGTACGTTGGCAATGGGGAATCACAACAACAACAACAACATAAAACTTGGGACTATCGTGGACATTAGTGGCACGGCAACATCTGTTTGTCTGTCCAATATAGCCATCTGTCAGTCTGCCGGTCCGTCTGTCCAGCCGTCAGTGCATAATTTTACGATTCCATTCGTCCAAGTGACACATTGCTATGAATTGCTTGGCACGGGCTGGTTCACTATCGCAGAGTTGAGTGGCGACTGTTGGCAAAAAGCGCAGCACCATCACTTCGGCGATACGAGCTAAACAAACGGAGACAAGCTGCACTCTCAGCATATCAGCTGTGTGGTCCATACACACAACGATGCGACCATCCCCGTATGGCCAAATAGATCGTGCAGCATACCAAGGGGCCGGGGTGTTGCAGGCACCATGCCCAGCCACCTTAAACTCCCCAGCGCTGAAGTTTACACACCGCACCAGGTACTCATTTGAAGCCGAGACCATCCAGGGAAGAGACCCAAGGTCTGGTTTAGGTATCTCTCGCCACTGATCTTGGCCGTGGCCCGGAATCAAATGTGAGTATTTACGGATTCGTCACACACATACACCCACGCAACAAAGACAAAGATTCCCCATATAGCCTTAACAAACTGTAGGAGCAAGTGCTGTTAGCGAGCAGCTATGAAGGCCGGCACGGCACACGAGGGGGTGGGTGGCCAGCACCACGCCCGGCCGCATTTGTCTCCACAGTGGTGATGTTTTCACAACGCACCAGGTACTCATTTGAGGGTTGAGTCGACCTAGGGGAGGCCCAGGACCGTATCAGATAATCAGCACTGGTGTCAGCCGTGAGCGGGAATCTAACTCGGGCCACCGGATTCGTAGCGCAGCATGCTAACCACTACACCCACCACTCCCCACGCACGCACGCACGACAAACCGTGGAGTGCCCAATTCCATCTTTTCTCCGTCCACTCGCTCTCTGAGCACACTGTGCAGACGGACAACAGGGGAGGCGCCCTGTAACACACAGCTCGATAGGCACCTACCCACCCAAGGTACCTTGCCAGCGACATTGCATTCATTTCCTCTGTTGATTGCACACGCTTCCCGAACTCGTTTCTGTGCCCTCCCCACTCTCTGCCAATGCTTGCCGGGGCCTTAATTGTTGGCAATACATTCTCATCCAGTGTCCAAGAGGTAATGCTGCTGCGAGTATACAATGAACAGCCGCGCATGCACGTGTTAAATTATTACGTAATTAAATACATCAATTTTTTTTTTATTCCAAAGCGCAGCCTAACTCGTAAGTATTTTCATTTAATTAACTTACAGCAATAAGAATGTATATTATATCTCGAAGCAAACAGTTTGTAAGATACGAATGAAATTAACCGCACTAAACATTTTCAAGTGTTCCGTTACATCTATTTTCAGTCCTCCTTGTGAAATAGGTCGACTCCATATTTTGGCCAATTATCACCACATCCACCCAGATCACTTAATTGGGATAAACCAAAGAGGCGTCATTAAAAAGCGGGCTCCCGCCTGCAGCGTCTAGCTAATTGTGCGGGCTAGAGTGGGGTTAAATTACGCAGAGCCTGCTAATGTAAAATCTCCCATTCATTTGTATCCGCTCAACCCAAACGCATTTTACATTAAGCCATGCGTGCTGCGCTAATATGAGCGGATTACAAAGCAAAGGGGGGACGAGGTGGGGCGGGGGGCAGGGCACGCGGCGGCATCTGACGATGGGGGGGGGGGGGGGTGCACTGTTCCGGCTCTATCCCCCCCCCCGGTTTACGAATTCAAACGGTCGCCCCGCTCACGACCGCGGCTTTGGCAGCCGCGACTGGGGCCCGGTGGCTCTCCGTCCGTGCCGGGGCACGGGCCCCGGTCGCGCGCCGCCCTCCGCCACCCGGTGCGGCTCCGCGTCGTCGCGGCCGGCGCCCGCCGACGGCACCGCGTGCAGGCCCCACGCGCCGCCCGGCGCTCCGGGGGCGGCCGGGAAAGCCCCGCCGTCCTCCTGCGTGCCGGGCGGCCGCGGGGGCGGCCCGCGCTCGCCCGCGAACGCCGCCGGGCGGTGCGTCTGCCGACCGGGGATCGCGGCGGCCGGTGCGGCGGGGTGACCGGGGAGGGCCGCCGCGACCCCGGGCGCGTCCCACGCGAGAGACGCGCGCGGCCTCGGCCGGACGGCCACGGACGGCGCGGCGGCGGCGGCGTCGGGGGGGTCTCCGCGTCGGAGCCGCTCGTCCCCGGAGACGAACGGCGCCCGGGGTTCGTCGAGGGGCGGCGGTCCGGGGGGAGCCTGCGTTTGCCCGTGGCCCCGGTGGCCGTGCTGAGGCCAGGGCGGCCGGCACGCGCGGTGCTGCGCGACCGTGAAGCGGCCCGAGGGGCGGCCGGCGACGGGGGGCGCGTCGCGAACGCCGTCGCCCTCGTCGATGCGCAGCTTGGCGCTGAGGAGGGCGCTCAGCTCGTCCTCGCGGCAAGCGGCCTCTCGGGCGCTCTCGGCGGCGCGGGGGGGGGCGGCACCGTTGGCGTCACTGGGGTCCCCGGTGAGCGCCGGCCTTTGGGGATTTCCAGCCGCGCTGCTGCCCTGAGCACTGGGAGGAGGCGATGGTTTGAGCTGAGAGGCGTCCATGTGCGTGCGTGCAAGGAAGAGAGAAAACAGAATACATGAGTTGGACACGCACAAGACGAGATCACCTTTTATCACGAAATGTGGCCGTGCGAATGGTGTCACGGGATCTTCAAAGTCGACTGTAAAGCAGACGGCGCGAATTTGTACGGTTAATACGCCCGCGGTGTTAATCAGCGCGGCCGCTGGATTCGAACCACGAACCTGTGCAAGAACAATCGGTGGACGTGCTCCCACTGGGCCGTGTCGCAGCCCGCGCCGTCACGATGACCTGTCACGATTCGATTTCAACATTGACCCTTTCCCGTGACACGTTCGCGTGTCTGTTTTATTAAACGTAATCAGAATCAGACTCTTTAGTTAATCCTGGAGAAATCCGATGAGCTATAAAGCTCTTCTTCACAGAAAGTAACAACAACAAACAGTACAAAAACATGATCAGAGTACAAAGTATTGGAAAGTTAAGCAAACCGCCAAAAAAAAATAACAACGTAATTCTCGTATAGGAGACCCAGACCACACCTTTGCCTTGCACTTTCCCAAAACGAGAGTGGAGAAAGAGCGAAACAAAACAGCGGACGATAAACGCGACGCAACGGAACATCGTGAGTTACCGCCGAAACCAGAAAAAAAAGATGCAGACGTGGGGACACACCGGTCTCAATTCGGGACGATGAACATTGCACGTCATCCCGGCTCCTGCTTATCAGATGAAAGCGCAACAGAGGGAAAACAAACCAGGCCCTAAGAGAAAGCAAGCGCGTAAATCTGACAATGCCAACGCAGCGAAAGGCACCGGAGTAAAAAAAAAAACTAATTATTTTTATCCCCTTTCATCAGCATCCGCAAATCATATTTACAAAGTGAGGACGGAAACGGCGCGCGCAGATCCCCGCTTGCGTGTAAGCAACGTCCCCGGGCGCTGGCCAAGACGGCAGCGGTGGCGCCCTTCCACGTCCCTCCGCACTTGAATAACTATCTCGAGTTTGTACGTCGTGAAAATAATCAGTCGTTTTTTTTTGCTTTCGTTACTTTTCTTCACGTGGACCTCCGACCTCCCTGCCGACGGGTCCTGGGCTACCGTCATTGTGGCAGCGCTGCTGGGCTCAATAGTGGCCTTACCGGCCGAAATGATTAAGTCCCAGTCGATGAGTCTATGCGTAACTATATTAATCTCCGTGCAATTTTACGAGTCTCTACGGGTCTCCGTGTAACTCTTTGTAAACGCGACGTCCGGTAACTCCTTCTCTACTGCCGACAAAACCGGGCTGCAGTCGCTGCCCTTGTAAAAGAGCTGTTTAACTCAATGGGGTCTTAACAGCTGCAATAATAAAGCCTAAGTCGGGGGATAAAATTGGTCGGGGAGGCACAAAGCGTATCGAAAGCCCTCCCCATTCTCCGTGCTCCGAGGTGCAGTCGCGCCAGCCCCCGGGATTACTGCGACGGCCGCGTGCGTTGGCGCGTCGATTCCGCCACGGGGAGATAACTCCCCCGGTTTTAATCCCGCAGAGCGGCTGGAAGTAAGAAAAAAGTTGTGCACACGGAAGAACACAAACTGATAATGATGACGATGCGGGCAGTGACGAGAAGGAAAGTGTGCACTATTTGGACACGCGTGTAGGATGGACAACGGCAGGGTGATTAAAAGTGTCTTGTACGGGGAAAAATGTTAAGGGGCCGGAAAAAGAGGAGGACCTGACAGAGAATGTCTTGACTACGACACAAGAAGAGATCGCTGCCAACACTTGAGTCATACCGGCGCACGACAGAGGAACGTGGAAAGAAATTACGAAATTAGCAGTGGACACCTCCTATGGGCTATCTGCCCATGGATCGTGACGATCGCGGTGGTGGTGATGATGATGATGATGAACGCGGCGGAAAGCTCCGGGCCACGGAGGTGCCGTCTTTATCCTTCCCTTTCCAAACGTGTCGCTTAGCCGTGTACATCCACTGCTGGATGACGGCCTCTACATGTCTGTCGGCGTCGTGGGGGAGGGGGGTGTTTGAGCGTACTTCACCACGCTGGTTTGGTGAGGGTTGGTGCACGGGGGAAGGGGCCCAAGACTGGCGAACTAGGCGACAGTGGGAATTGTGGACGTGGGAGCATAGAAAGCAGAGTACAGTACAACAATTTTTCTGCACTGCCCTCTGAGAGGCATGTTGTGAGGCAGTGGATTGACAAAGGTCTTTTTATTTATTTGTTTTATCCATTTATAGTAGTGCAATAAAAAACAACATGTTTTAGAATTTCATATTCTTACAACAATAAACATCCTTGACTCAAGACCATCCAAAGTAAGTAAATATTCACTTTTCTCAAGCGCTTTGGGGTCATTTTGGGTTAAAGGGAGGTCCCAGGACCAGTGACGTTTGCCATGGATGCGAATCAAACCTAGTTCACTGGGTTCACGGCGCAGTACGCTAAACACTTGCATCAATACACCCTCTCACTTAAATAGCATTGATGAGAGCAATCTGTTTAAACCGAAAGCATAATATCATTTATGTTGATACTTGGATCATCATGATGGTCATTACCTTTCTCGATTTACTTGTGTCGATTTAAAGCATCATTAGGCGGTAAGTTAATTTGCAGATGTTAGGGTATATCTCACATTGCATCATTGTTATATATCCATAAGACTGCAACCAAAAATCAAATGTTGTGAGTACGGTAGATTATATTTATGGGTTGTCCGGAAACCATGACAAGTTCATCATTTACAGGCATCATTACCATTCCATCAGCTACATGCATGAAAGCATCATAAAAGAGAGAGAGAGAGAGAACCGCTCTTTGAACAAAAAATAAAATCTGAAAAATTACATCGCATACTCATCGCTGGTGCAGGTACAAATAAATAAATTGCCACCACCATAATTTCCCCAGCTGCTTTAAAAAGAAAAAAACATGAAGAGAGTCAGTGAAAGTAATCCTTTAAAACGTTCCCCTGGCGGAGATGTTTTAAACGACGGCTTAAAATACGTAAAAAAAAAATGCTAAAACGAGACCAACGTTCGGCCGCTCGCTCACTGCCCCGTCTGCTCGATCGCCGTCTGCGACACCCCCGTTAGTAACAAGCGCCAGGCTCGTGAAGATCCCAGAGGAAGGGGTCTTATGGAGATTCCGCGGCATTAACATGAGACGGCGAAGAGAATGATGGGATGGGGGAGCTTAGCGGTCGAGCCTTTCGGATGTGCTTCTGCGGGCGTCTGGAATGTTCCTTCCTTCTGATATTAGGACGTCACTGGGAGCTAAGCACTTTGAAATCGACACTGAAAACTAATTTCTGTAGAACTGCTTTTGTGTTTGGTTTGCTGTCCTTCCCCCGCAACTCGGATTAGCGCGGATTTGCTACGCACGGTGCGAAAGAAGTTCAACACACATACATAACTTCAGTCACACGCTCATGAATCCAGTTTCATCTCAGGTTTACAAACACATCTCCACGGTGTGCCAGGTGTGTGTTGTTTAGGGGTTGAATGTAGAATCCCGAGTGAAATGACGCGACTGTCGTAGATAGCGTGTGAAGGATGAGCGTCACTCTGCGGTACACCTCAAAGTTTCTCAACTGTTAAAACCCCGTGACGTAAATGTGATGCAAAATTATTTCGGAACAGCTTTTTGTCTTCAGTTTCTTGTCCTTTCCCCGCACCTCCGATTAGCACGGTTGGCTACATACGGCGCGAAAGAAGTTCAACGTACAGTAAAACCTTGGATTGCGAGCATAATTCGTTCCGGAAACGTGTTTGTAATCCAAAGCACTCGTCTATCAGTTGTGATCACGTGACGCTCGGCAGACAAAGTGTATAAACGTACTACTCGTATTGCAAGACCTTGCTCGTTTATCAAATTAATATTTATTTAAAATTTTTGCTCGTCTTGCAAAATAGTCGCAGATCCAAGTTACTCGCAATCCAAGGTATGTAGGGGTCTGAAAGCGATTGAACGCTGTGCGACTGTGACGATGAAGTCCGGTGTAAAGAGAGCTTTGTGCGGGGAGGTTTCTCCGGTTGGCTCCGATGGGTGGGTTGGGTGGGGGGGTGCTGTAGAGCGGTGTCAGAGATGCGTAGCCGCCAATGCTGACATGAGGAGGTTTGATGAATCTGGGATTTGGGCCACCTGTGATTAAGCGAAGCCCTTCAAGTGTAGCGAGAGCTGATGGGCGCAGCTCGGTCTCGAGTGACCGCGTTTAACAAATTACATAAAATTTTGACGCAACTCCGGTTGACGTGAAAATGGATGTATGGCGTCGTACATTGTGCTCTCTAATAGCAGTTACAATGTACGCGATGTGACATTTGGTTGTTCACCTTGGAAGATGCCAGCTCTTGAGATATTAACATTTTGGTCTGATTAGCATGACGAATACTCTTTGCAGGGCATATAAAAAGTGTGGTCCGATTGTGGAGTGAAGAAAGTAGTTCTGTCACATCATATTTTGGTAGCAATCTCTGTAACGGGTTGGTAACAGGGTGGTGCACTGCTGGCTGCAAGGGTTCAAAAATGAAAAATATTTCTTCTCATGACATGATTTTTCGATTTAAAGCTTTCGTGACTGCAGGGATTCATATTCTTGGTTCTTTCGGTAAAGTCACGTGGAAGGGAAATAATAAAATAATCAAAATAAAACAATAAAATTCTCACGACGTTTCGATTGCAATACAAGCAATAATCATCGGGTGTGAAAACCACAGCAAGAATTTTGTTTAATTTTTTTTTACATTTTCTTGCTGTGGTTTTCACACCTGATGATGATTACTTGTGTTGCAATCGAAACGTCGTGATAATTTTATTGTTTTATTTTTATTATTTTATTATTTCCCTTCTACGTGACTTCACCGAAAGAACCAATAATATCATGACATGATGTTGGAATAAAATTACGAGGAAAATTCCAGCACTTAAGAGTCTTCAGCATGCCCTAACCTTTCCATCCCTACGTTCCTGCTCTGTTTTATGTCGTCACTTTCTCCGTCTTACG